GAAAGAGTTATATAAAAGGGAGCATTTGTACTAGAGCATTAAAAAAATTACTGAACACTTATACATTGGCCAAATTCTTAAGAAATAATCTCATTGTCATCTGATCATATAATTTTAAAGTTGATGCTTTCATTATCTCTGTTTTACAGATGGGGCAATTGAGGTTCTAAGAATCTAAGAGAATATCTAATTTATCCAAGGTCACGGAAGTGGAAAATTTTGGAGCTGGGCTGTTTCACTCCAAAGCCTGTGCTACTAACCATTTTATGATGAATAGGATTTTGATAGGCAGAAATGAAACTGGGAAGATGAATTGATTTCAACAGACCAGAAAGCTGGCAATTTCAAATTCCTTACTTGATGTTCTTACAAGTTAGGATTTTTGCAAGGGGTGGTGGAAGTTGGATCATATACTGAAGACCAGTCATGGATTTTTCTCTGAAGTGAAGAATGGACTATATTGGGGGAGACCAGATTTGCTTTGCAAGTATTGCTGGTCTTAGGGTAGAGGACAAAGATGGAGGCTGAAAGACTTCTTAAGAGGCCACTGTAGTTGACTGGATGGGAGGCAACAAAGGCCAGGACAGAAGGGGAGAAGGGAAAGACCTTTCGAGCTCTTAGTACCCTCAGGGGAGGCCCCTTTTCTATCGGGATTTCTTTCATGTCTTACCAGAATGGAGGGGACCGAAAAATCACTTGCCACTTTCTACCATTCCTAAGCAATCTTTTTCTTTCTTTCTTTCTTCCTTTTTTTTTTTTGAGAGATTTTTGTTGTAGGGCATATGTGCTCACTGGAGAGAGAGAGATAAGATGAGAAATCTCCCCCTGGGGGATGGCCATGACACAATCCCATCCCCGACCCAGCTGCTTGAAACTCATGCCATGTGTGTGTGTGTGTATGTGTGTGTGTGTGTATGTGTGTGTGTGTGTATGTGTGTGTGTGTGTATGTGTGTGTGTGTGTGCGTGTGCTCAAAATCCTAAGAGGAGAATGGAGAAGGGAATGAGGCATGGCCATCCCCCTGGGGGGTGATTTCTTGCTTTCTGTCTCTCTGTCAAGCGCATGTGCCCTATAGCAAAAACCTCTCAAAAAAATAAAAAATCCACACTCTTGGTGAGCCTGTCAATTAGCATGTCTCCCCTGCCCTCATTATCAAATGATAAATGTGATCCAAATGGAGGTCAATGGAGTCTCTTTCTTAGAGGTCTGAATCAGGTGAGGGGCACAAAGAATGATGATGTCTGGAAGTCGCCCACTCCAATGATGTCCCGAAGACAGGGTCTAGTGATTATTGTTTCTTACATTATCAAAGACAACTTAATTTTTGTCTAACTGTAGACCTCAGTCTTCAGGTGCCACTCTGTTTCACTCACATTCTTTAAATTTACTTGTCCTTGAGGGTTTTTTTAGCCAGGGTTAGTTTCTGTTGCTTGCAACTGAAGAGATCTATCTAATCAATATGTATTTGTGGGTAGTATTCTTAACAAAAGGGCGACTAAGCTAGAAAAGGATATAGGAGAGAAGTCTGCACAGATTGCATGCCTTATAATCCTTAGTATCATACCAAGTTCACACTTCATGTGTGTTTGTGTGTATGCTGATACACACACATATAAGTTATATAGTGTGAAAATAATATCCCCCATCCCAACTACAATTCATTGTTGAGCACATTTATATGGGTCAGTTTCACTGACTAAGAAAATAGCTTCTGTCTCTTTTTTGTACTATTTGCCTTTGAACCATGTTATGTTTCAATACAGTGACTGGTGGTTCTTCACCTTTCTGCATTCTCTATTTCAACCTAGTGACACAGAGCTGGGTATATGATGTTAGTGCCTCAGAGAGTGATGCAAAATAAACATAGTAGGGATCAGATCTCTGGCTCAGGATTTCAGCTGTGATATTTTAGAACTGACCTTGATTTCTGCCCTGAGTTCAGCCAGCTGCATCTCTGCCATCTGACTGGCTAGATCAGTAAGTCTCTTCAGCTCTTCTGCTTTCTTCTGACGAGCAGTCAGGATTTCCACTGCCAAGTAAGGAGGAATAATGTGTTAGGGCCAGAGATTCAACCATATTAAATGACCTAATTTCTTGGAATCAGTTCTCCCTCCACAAACTGATTACTTTGTTGGACTATGATTATGCTTTCTGAGTTGGTCACCGAGGTGGGTTCATTCTTGGTGCCCATTACCAACAACCCATTTCCTTATGTCTTTATCTACCAGTTCCCAAGCCAAACGTAGTCCCTTTTGATTCACTGCACAACTCACACTCTTCTTCATTTTCTCTAGCGGCATCTGATTTCACTTACTTGGAGTTTGTGAGTTATTCAGAACAACTCTCTCTCAGAAAAAGATACTTATTCAAATTCTATTTGAAAAATATTACAAAGATAGGGAGTCCATTAAGCAAAAACCATTCTGTAATGTGCTGTACTATTAAGTTCTAGAAGCATCAGCCTTCTGAACTTTAACGCATACTCATTTAGGGCAACTAGCTGTGTTATTAGAATTTGATGTAACAGTTTTACTTTATTAGCTTTTTTTGTGAGCTGAAAAATGCCTGTTTTTGGTGCTCTGCAGATAAGTTTCCATTTTGCAAAGAGAGAAAAGTTCCAGACAAAAGTGTCTTATGTCTTTGTTATAAGTGTTCCCAGTGGAAAAATTTCAAGGGTGAGTCAAGCCAGCTTGAACTGGATTTGTGTGCACTCTCTAGAATCTGCACATGTATGGAAGACACCAGGGAGTTCTTTGGCTCTACATTTTCACACATCTGTCAGATAAGCTAAAGATTCAAGTAGATGTAGTAGCCCACAGGCTAATGTGTGTGCACATGCATGTGTTTCCCAAGAGATTATGGCACTCAGAAGCAATGAGTATAAATATATAGTGTGAGATTTAAATATTAAGTTTGATCTTTCAATAGACAGATTTGATTCTCGAATTCAAGTCGTATAAGAGTTGTCTCCACTTCTTTGGACAAGCATTTTGATGATAAGAAAAGAGCTCATCTAGGGCTATAGGCATGTCGAACCCACATTCCACTCATGGCTAAACATGCATGATCTGCTTTAACACATGAGACTCACAACATGCATACAGAGCCAAACAATCTGATTTCTAATTTTGAGAATTCTTAATACATGCAATGTCAAAAATTGTCACCTTAGAAACCCACAAAGAAGTACCAAATAAACCAAGAGTTAAGATTCTTTGCAAGTCATAAATCATTCAGGTAGATAGGGGGACATTATATTTGTATGCTATATCAATGTTGAAATGTCAATAAAATAACTAATCTATGACTCATAAAGCCTAAACATCTGCCAACTGATTAGGCTTTGGTAATTTACCTGGGGATCCACCTGTCTGTCCCCAATTTATAATACCACATAGCTGAACAGACTGATCTGTGCTTCATGGTCCATCCAAATACAGAAGTGAAACACCCAGGATGGGAATGAGAGGGTCTGCACCTGTACATAGACAATGTATTATCTGAATCATGTCTCCAGATACCCAGTTGGACCAGAGGTCACGAAAATGTGACCTGCTATTACTTTTACAGATTAATTGCCCACCTTTAGAAATTAGGATATTCCATTTCAAAGTTGGGTTTCTCTTAAAATACTGGAATTTCTAGCTACTCTTGGCCAGTATTCCCACATGGCAACAACTGGCTAAAGCTGAGGAGGACCGCCGTTTTTAGGTGGACCACAGTGTTCAGTGGGTCATAGTCCCATGCACCACCTGGCACATTAATATTACCTGCTTGGCCCCTGTAAGCATCTCCAATCATCTGTGGGCCCACCTAGTACCTGGTACACAGTGAGTACCCAGTACGCTTGCTCAATGAAGGATTCAGTGAATGAATGAATGAATCTACTATGCGAAAGAAATGTAAGTTCTTTTTATTATTTTTAATTTTTTTGCCATAGGGCCCATGCGTTTGCCAGAGAGAGAGACAGAGAAACAGTGAGAGGGAAAGTGAAAAATCACCACAGTGTATGTGTAGGGGTGGTCACATCGCGATTACTTTTCCCCATTCTCCTCCTGGGATCTTGGACACACACATACATATGTGCCCAGTGTGATTCTCAAGCCACCAGGTCCGGGACTTGAACCGCAGTCAGCAATGTGGGAGTCCAGCACCGTAACCACCATGCCAACCTGCGGGCCCTAGAAGTTTCTTTTCTACAGAGGGCACTTAAGATGTCTAGGACCTGTACTTTTGATTGGTTATGTGTTTATTTGTTTGCCACTATAATTCAACAAATGGATGGGACTAACGCCTGGAAAAACAATTCTGGAGTTGGGTGATGAACTTGGCATTCATATCAAACAGAAAATCTTATAGAAATAGATATAAGTGGACCCTAAAATAGTAATGCAGGTGCAAGATCACCAATAAATTCAAGTTTATACTCATGCGAATGTGCACGGAAATGAATCCCTTTGCATCGGCAAGTGTTGGGATGCATTTTACATATCGTCTCATTAACATTTAAAGGCCTTTCGTGATGAAAAATGCCTTAAAACTTGAGATCTAAGGCCAGTATTCTCTGGGGGATGAACATTTTCACCTCAAAAACATCAATCACAGAAACAAAAAGCAAAAACAAAAACAGATCAGATCTTAAGATTCATTGATCCTATAATATAAAATAGATGAATAAGTATGGTTTGAAAGCATCATCTTTTCAGAAATCTGTAGAGGGAGAGTGTTCCATACAGCAAAGATTTTCCCTGCATTGAGGTCTTAATTAATATTACTTATGACTTTTTTTTAAAGAATTATTTTATTTATTTACTTATTTTTAAAATTTTGACCAGAGAGGGTCAAAGTGAGAGAGAGAGAAAGAGAGAGAGAGAGAGAGAGAGAGAGAGAGAGAGAGAGAGAGAAAGAGAGGGAGAGAGAGAGAAAGGGAGAGAGAGAGAAAGGAAGAGAGAGAAAATGAGAAACCAAGCTACCAGGTCCAGGACTCAAACTATGGTCAGCCATATGGGAGTCCAGCGCCCTTAACCATCATGCCACCTGCTGGCTCCTACTTACGTCTTTTATAAACAATGCTAAAATTCATTTTCTCAATAGGATTTATAAATTCCTTCAGGTTACTAGAAAACATTGAAAACTTGCTCATATTATTCGAACCATGGAAAATCTTATGGCTTCTCAAACAATATTCTTTAGCAGAAAGGGTTCTCAAAATTTGGGGGCCCAGGAGTTAGTATAGAAGTGGGTCTTTAAGCACAAATATTCTTTGCAATCTTTACATTAAAATTGTTGTGAATTTTAAAATTCTACTTCCTAACATACCTGTGTTCTTGTTAACACAAAGTAATGTTTTCCTCTCGTATCTCTAGTAAACTTGACACTCCAAGAACATGTCTATTCAGGCTTTCAATTCCCTGGGAATGTAGATTTAGTCTGAGACCCTAGCACTAAAATGAAATAACTGTGGACCAGCAGGTGGCATGGTAGTTAAGGTGTTGGACTCCCACATGGTCAGCCATATTTCGAGTTCCAGATCTAGTGGTTTGAGAATCAACTGGCGTGTGCGCATGGCATGTCCAAAATCCCAGGAGGAGAATGGAGAAGAAGGAACTGTGATGTGGCCTCCCCCAAGGGGTGATTTCTCATCTTTCCTCTCTCTGTCTCTCTATCCTCTGGTGAGCATACACACCCTTTGGTAAAAACCTAAAAAAAAAAGGAGAAAAAAATGAAATAATTGTGCACATTTTGTAGGGTTATTGGGTAATAAATGGAATAATATATGTATATGAACTATTTAGTATAACATACTAAAAATGTTAGTTATAAATATTGTTAGTAAAGCTAGACATATTTACCTAGAACATACAATTGGCCTTCTACATCCACAGGTTGCATATCCTGTATTCAACTAACTGTTGGATGTAGCCAGACCACACCTGGACACAGCCAGGCCACATCAACTCCGATGAAATCGGGGGAGGGGTGACTCCCTAAAAGGGAGACACTGAAGGGGTTTATCTTTTCACATTTTTCTTTTCACTTACATCTGAAGTGAAAATTACTTACAAATTACAAGTAATTTAGAGATGTTTTTACGTATATAGGAGGATGTACATAGGTTATATGCAAATATACCATTTTATATAAGGGACTTGCACAGCTATAGATTTCTGTATCCTCAGAGTGTGGGGTGTCCTGGGACCAACCAATCTTCATGGATACCAGGGAGTGACTGTACTTCTCTTTTTATGCAGTTTCAGTAGTGTTCACTAATATTAGATCCCACAGCCTAGAGACACTGAATTGATGACAGTAATTCATTTAATAATTACTTATGAAGTACCTACAGTCTTTTCAGCATTGGGTTAGAAGATTATAATTGAACATGGTTTATATCAAGTATGATAATTAGAAAGTGTGAAAAATACTTTTGAGACCATAGATAAGCAAAATGGTGGCTGTAAACACAATATTTAGTGGGCAAAATTCAATTTAGTGGGCTCCTTCTATCTATGGAGAAGACAAAGAGTTGACCCAGGCATGTCATCCAAGAGAGGCTGTGTAATAGCCCCGTGGACCTCCACTCTGTGACTGTAACATGAGAAGGTTGGACTAACCTATTTACAGAGTGTGTTTCTCTTTTGCAGACACATCAGGTTCTGTGTTAAGTGCCTGCCATATATTTTCTCATTTTATCTTCACAATAACTACTTAGGTAAACTATTCTTATTCTGCTCTTTTTGATAAGGAACCTCAGATTTTGAGAAGTTAACAAAATGTTTGAGGTCACACAGCCTGTAAATGGGTGGAGCTTGAATTTGAACTCAGTTTTTTCTACCTCCAAGGCATGTCAATTGGCTTTTCCAGGACCTGCAGCACCAGTTAATGAAATCAGGTGAACCCTGTCCTCCCAGCTGGACTGAAAGCCCAGTGAGTGTGAGCTACACTGAACTGTTTCCTGTTTATCCTCGTCTTAGTACATAAAGAGGTACACAGTGATTGAAAAAGTTTTCCCCAAAACTGGGGATGCTGTCCAGAGATGCTCCAAATTCTGCAAACTTGGTAGTCAACATTATTGTCCCAGGAAAGACGAGTAAGTGCCTGAAATCTGAGGTCTTTTGTTAATTTCTGAGAAAGTGATGTACTGGTGACTTTCTAGTTCTAGAGAACCATTTGTGTCTGTGTTAGTTGTCAGAATTTTCATCATTAAAAACTGAAACTGAAATAAGTTATACTTGAAAATCAGAGAAAATCCCAAGTCATACATAGATAATCTACGTTTACTAAGAAAATCAACAAGGTACATAAAATGATTGTGTGACTACCTAAATATTCCTCAGCTTCACCTTGGATCCCAATAGTTTCATTTAGTAAAACTGGCTTCAAAAAGTTCAAGAAAAATAAGTATTATAAACAAACTATACTTGGGGTTCAAAAGATTTTTTGTACCAAAATAAACTTACGCTTTGATTCTACTTTCCATGAAATTTTTGAAGTCCCTGTATAGTTTAGATTCTAGAATGTTTAAGATTATCTAGAAAATTACGAAACAGGGAACCAGCAGTTAACATAATGGCTATGTCGCTGGACTCCCACATAGTCGACTGCGGTTCGCGTCCTGGACCCGGTGGCTTAAAACACGCCGGGCGCGTGTGCATGTGTGCCCAAGATCCCGAGAGGAGAATGGAGGAGAAGGAATTGCGGCGCGACTATCCCCCCGGGAGGTGATTTCTCGCTTTCTGTCTCTATGTCTCTCTCTGTCTGGTGAGTGCACGCGCCCTATAGCAAAAACCTCAAGGCATGTCAATTGGCTTTTCCAGGACCTGCAGCACCAGTTAATGAAATCAGGTGAACCCTGTCCTCCCAGCTGGACTGAAAGCCCAGTGAGTGTGAGCTACACTGAACTGTTTCCTGTTTATCCTCGTCTTAGTACATAAAGAGGTACACAGTGATTGAAAAAGTTTTCCCCAAAACTGGGGATGCTGTCCAGAGATGCTCCAAATTCTGCAAACTTGGTAGTCAACATTATTGTCCCAGGAAAGACGAGTAAGTGCCTGAAATCTGAGGTCTTTTGTTAATTTCTGAGAAAGTGATGTACTGGTGACTTTCTAGTTCTAGAGAACCATTTGTGTCTGTGTTAGTTGTCAGAATTTTCATCATTAAAAACTGAAACTGAAATAAGTTATACTTGAAAATCAGAGAAAATCCCAAGTCATACATAGATAATCTACGTTTACTAAGAAAATCAACAAGGTACATAAAATGATTGTGTGACTACCTAAATATTCCTCAGCTTCACCTTGGATCCCAATAGTTTCATTTAGTAAAACTGGCTTCAAAAAGTTCAAGAAAAATAAGTATTATAAACAAACTATACTTGGGGTTCAAAAGATTTTTTGTACCAAAATAAACTTACGCTTTGATTCTACTTTCCATGAAATTTTTGAAGTCCCTGTATAGTTTAGATTCTAGAATGTTTAAGATTATCTAGAAAATTACGAAACAGGGAACCAGCAGTTAACATAATGGCTATGTCGCTGGACTCCCACATAGTCGACTGCGGTTCGCGTCCTGGACCCGGTGGCTTAAAACACGCCGGGCGCGTGTGCATGTGTGCCCAAGATCCCGAGAGGAGAATGGAGGAGAAGGAATTGCGGCGCGACTATCCCCCCGGGAGGTGATTTCTCGCTTTCTGTCTCTATGTCTCTCTCTGTCTGGTGAGTGCACGCGCCCTATAGCAAAAACCTCTCCAAAAAAAAAAAAAGAAAATTATGAAACAGAAATAATAATAGCTATTTTCCATGAAGTGATCAATTATATGTACACAATAAATGTGTACATATACATATATATATATATATGAAAAACATCAGCTATATTAAATTGATATCTATAATTAAAAATGTTGAGAGAGATTTAAGTAAGTTTCAAATGGGACTCAATTTTCAGGGGAAATTATTTTGATAAATGTGACTGAGTTAAACCTAAGAAAGAACAAGTGAAAAATATATAAATGATACAGTACGATTTATATATTGTTAAGTCTTAAAAAGTAATGCCTTAAAATTTAATACTGGGGCCAGCAGGTGGCATAGTTAGGTGCTAGACTCCCACATGATCAACTGTGGTTCGAGTCTTAGATTCATGACTTGAAAACCATGCCAGGTGGGTGCATGCCCAAAATCCTGAGAGGAGAACAGAGGGGAAGGGATTGCAGCATGGTCAATCCCCCTGGAAGATGATTTCTCATTTTCCTTCTCTTTGTGTCTCTGTCTCTCTCCTCTCTGGTAAGTGCACACACCCTATAACAAAAACCTAAAATAATTTAATACTAAATCTAATGTCATTTTAAGCCCAATTAAGTAAAGATCTTTTTGTACACAAAAGTCCCTTTAGACTTTAAAAAACTTAACTGACACCTGTTATTCACCAAGTGCCTGGTCTGCCATGTACTCAACTTTATCTTGCAGAATGGCATACTGAGATTTACGAGGGCTAAGTGACTTGCTTAAAGTTATAGAGGTTATGTCCAGGATTTCCGTATGAACTTTAGGACCTGCTCAGAATCCAGTATCACTTTCCGTCTCCATTTTGGTCTATGGATTGCTTCTGACCGCAACGCTCCTAATCAAATAACCCTGTGTCTACTTACTGGCTTCTTCTTTAACTTTATCCATTTCTGCCATTAATGAAACTTCTTTGTCAATGATGCTGGAGGAAAATAAAAACAAAAACAAAAGCAAAGAAGGCTTAATCAAAGATGAACTTTTACTAAACGCTAGAAGTAAAAGAAAAGTTATTTTCATTAAACAAAATACCAAAATTTTCATAAATATTTCTATGCTATGATGCCAGCACCACACTTTGCCTCTCCAAAAACCAGGCAACATGGAAGGGCTGTTCCCAAGGATTACATAGTGACATCTGCTAATTAAATCACTGTCAATGAATCTAAAAAAAGGCTGTCAGACTTTCAGAACTGTGCTGCTTTAATTTAAATTTGGGAGTATTTTTGCCCTATACGTTGAGAAGTTCCAAGACAGTGTAAGTGTTTGGAAAGCTGATGCTCAGGTCAACGAGGGTCACAGTTCCCAAACTCTGTGTTCTAAGAGCCTGGCCAGGAGAGGGTGAGGTGGGCCTGATTCTGATGCAGATGGTACTGGTCCACATGTTGAAAAATATCACCTGGATTAAATCATCTTGTGCTCTATAATATTATTTTATGCCTTCTCATTCTCTCAAATAAGGATTTCAAGTGTCTAATGAACTTTTTCGGGTCAGGAAATGTATTTTTTGGTTAGTCCTCTGAAAAGGCTTTACTTGCATAAAAAGCAAACAATTACTCGTTTAAAGTTTCTCTCCCATCCTGGGCCCCTGGTTCCCTTCCCAGAAGCAAACCATAGTTACAAATTCTTTTTTTTTTTTTTTTTGAAAGATTTTTGCTATAGGGCTTGTGTGCTCTCTGGAGAGAGACAGAGAGACATAAAGTGAGAAATCACCCCCCGCCCCCACCGGCGGAGATGGCCATACTGCAATCCCTTCTCCTCTTGGGATTTTGGGCACTCATGCACACACACTTAGTGTGAGTTTCACGCTACCAGGTCTGGGACACGAACTGTGGTCAGCCATGTGGCAGTCCAGCAATGTAACCATTATGCCATCTGCTGGTCACCACTTCTTTATATGTATCATTTCACAGATTTTTATGTAGTGGGAAGAGATGAGTGAAAGAAGAGTCAGCAAAAAAGTTAGGGAGCTGTGTAGGAGTAGAGCCTGGAGAAATTCCCCATGATGGGGTGAGCACGGATGTCAGATATTCTTCCATTTTCATTCCATTCATCAATATTTCAATATATATCTCTACAACATAAGGACTTTTTGGGACCATACCACGCCACAGTATTTACTATAATACCTATAAATATTACCATTAATTTAATATTATCAAATATCTACTCAATATTCAAAATTCAAATATTCAATTGTCCCATAAATCTTCCTTAACAGTTTGTAAAGATTGAGACCTCAATAAGACCTGTTTATTGCAATTGGTTGAAATCTATTTTAATTTGCATGTTACTTCTCATCCCTTTTGTAATTTAATTGTTGTTTGTCTCGAAGAGGTCTGAATTTTGCTGATTATATCTCCACAGTATGATTTAACCTATTGTTTTGTATTTCCTATAAATTTGTTACTGGATAGAGAAATGTGATTGGATTTAGATTTGATTTTTTTCCCCCAGAAATACTGTATGTCGTAGCAGCATGCACATAATGACACAGCACATGAATCAAATTTTCCTTCTGAACAAAAACAATCAAAGCTGAATCTAATCAAACTTCTACATCTAACAACAAATTTTTAGAAAATACAAGGACATCTCTCTCTTTCATGATATTAGCACCCACTGATGATCACTGCCTAGATTAATAGAGTTTGCAAAATGGAGATACTCAAAATCTGCCTTCATTATTTCCTGGAGTTTTTCCATAAAGAAAAACTAGATCAACTATTTGGTTATCACGAAGGACAGTTTGGGTGGGTCGGACGGGATAAATGCTTGATTATCTTTTACTGATCTGTTTTCAAAATAATATGTAGTTATTTAGCTTCCTTTAAAGATCATAAGTTTCTTTTGCTTGCTTGCAGTTTAATTATGAATTCATATTTAACGTACTCCAGTACACTACAGTTATTACTCAGATTGTTACACCAGAGGAGCTTTTTGTTTCTCTCCAATCAGATGTACTTTTAAGATTTAAAGTGTATTGAGAATTTATTTCCCCCTAAGAATTTTGCAATAGTTATCAAGGTGAGACATGGTTTGTGGGCTGTAGCTATAGCCGTTTTGGGGCTCCAACTAGGTCATATAACCTGAACACCTGGGAACTGAGGACTGTGTGCTAAGGAACTCAGATCTTTCCAACCGGGAAATCCTACTGGAAAGTACTGATGTGTACAAAGAATGGCAAATTACCTAGAACTGGGCACTGAGCCTAGTTCATCAACTGTAGACAACATCATTTATCCCCATGACGCACGTGGCTTAAGGTCACTAGATATGATCAATTTGGTGTAACCATAATAGTAGGATACCTATACCTTATTTATTTTCATTACATAAGTATGACATCACCATGTCTTAAAAGAAGGTAATGCATGGTACTGAAACAGAGAGAAGGAAGTCTTAATTCCATCCCCTCTCCACCTCACACAGTTCACCCCTCCTTTAAGATCTCAGTGTTTCACATTTCTTTTTTTTTTCTTCCCAAAGACCATTGCGCACAAACCAGCATATATTTTGTAACTGTATAAAAATGCTGAATTAAGTGAGTAGGCTCTGCACTCTTATGATTATGAAGTATATTTATTGATAGCTTCTCTATCAGGTACAGGTACATAAATGCAGTCAAAAGAGAGGGGAAAAGTTGTTTTTTTTTTTTTTTTTTTTTTTTTACAATCTTCTTAAAGAAGAAATTTCCATCTTAGTTTAAAAAAATAAATGCTAATGTACAAAGTGTTAGGGAGATAATGTGAGAACATAGAGATTTGGGGTCAAGAGCCCAAATCACAAATATATGGTTAAGCTACTCTGCTTAAGAAGATGGTCTGGGGGCTGGCAGGTGGCATGGTGGTTAAGGGCACTGGACTTCCATATGGTTGTCCATGGTTCAAGTCCCAGACCTGGCGGCCTGCTTTCTTGCTTTCCCTCTCTTGCTTCTCCTCTCTTACGTGCTCTCTCTCTCTCTCTTTCTATCTCTTTCTGGTCAAGTTAAAATAAATAAATAAATAAATAAATAAACAAACAAACAAACAAATAAACAAACACAGTTAGTTAAATAAAATAGTTCTTTAAAAAAAGAAAAAGAAGATGGTCTGAATTTTTAATCCCTATAGAAAGGGAAGGGAGAGAGGAAAGTTGGGAGCTGCCTAAGGGTAAGAGTCTGGGGGAACCTCCAGTTGTAGGATGGGCACAAGAACTTTCTAGCTCCTATGCCATTGGAAGGTGAGTGCTGTGAGCCTTGCTTGGAATGCCCACATCTCTGTTATGCCTCGTGTGAATGGTCTAAGCACAGGTGGGTACATGCACATGAAAACTCAGACAGTGGCTGGGTTTCACCTCTGGGCCCAGGCAAGGCTGAACAGATGGGAAGATGACACATCCTAAAGGCTGAGTCTGAGAATGTTTGACTGCACTCCTACTCTCAGAACCGTACAGATATTGGAGAAAGCTTTGAACATCCATAGGACATGGAAAAGGAGCCCAAGACAACTCATTTGAAGCTTATGAGGCTGGGTGACTCCAGCTGATGTATAGATTGAATAATGATGGTGCTATAGGTTGCATGAGATACAACTGGGGATTAAAAAGTATTTCTTCTGAGCCAGCAGATAGTGTGGTGGTTAAGGTGCTGGATGCCCACATGGTCGACTGTGGTTCAAGTCCTGAACCTGGCAGCTTGAAAATCACACCAGGCACATGTGTGTATGTTCAAAATCCTGAGAGGAGAGGAGAGAATAAAGGAGAAGGAATTGAAGCATAGCCATCTCACTTGAAGAGTCACTTCTCACTTTCTTTCTCTCTGTCTCTATCTGTCTCTCTCTGGTGAGTACATGTGCCCGATAGCAAAAATCTGAAAATTAAAAAGACTCTTCCTATCCCTGTAGAGCCCATGTTCTTTTTCGGGGAGCTGAGAAAAATGTGAAAGGAACTGCACAAGTCACTGGAGAAATCATGAAAAACAGGGAAGAAAATGGTGATGACAAGAGGAGGAAATTAGGATCACTCTTCCCTGACCAACTAAGAGTCCCCAAGTTTTGAGAGCACGTATGACACACAACTAAGGCAAATGCATGTGACACAGGATTTTCCTATCCCCAGCTGTCCAGTTAGTGAGAGGGGAGCAGATTGCAGTGCGAGGTCTGGGTTAGGATTAGTTAAATAGGGTGTTCCAAGGACACACACCTGCCTCTCACACAAATGCCCAACCAAAGCATAGATCCTGGTGGCTGGGAATCCCATAGCCCGTGTGCATGGTGGATGGGGAGAATGGTACAAAAGAGGCCTTTGCTCATTTCTTTGACAGCTACAAAATAAAGCTACTATTTTTGTCAATTAAATTTGTTAAGATAATCTGTCCCTAGAAAGTTTATGAGATGGACTTTTGGGGTATAATATATACTCCCAGGTCTAACACATATTAAACAAAGCTGTATAATCAAACAATGGTTAGTTCAGGCCTTCTGGGCTAGCAACAGGAGGGATGAAGGTTTACACAATAAATTGTTAATCTGCTTAATGCACACACTCGAGGATGTAAAACCGCCTGTGAAGCTGGCATCAAACCATGCTTCCATTCCTCTGGGTATTTCAACAAAGGAAGACAGTCTGCAAGCATCTTAGTAATTCAAGCACTGCTATCTATGTATGACTGCTTTCGAAACTCATGTGCATAAAGGCGAGCCAATAGGATCTCTGCTGAGTAAGGACCCTGCTCTAAACTGAAGAACTGAAGCAAACTGAGACTGGGACCAGCTCGAGGCAGATAAAGCTGATTCTCCCTCAAGAATCTCAGTAAGGTAGAACTGAGTGTCCCTTGGGTTTTGCTTTCAAGGCAGCAGCATTGTTGGAGGGAAGAGCTGTGAGAAGCAGTTGTGGAGGACGAGGCATCACAGTAGGCTGAGCATTAGACAAAAAGAAGGGTCAAAG